GCATTAAGTTCAATTAGGATATTTTGTATTTAGGGCAAAGCCGTATTTACTTTCAAAACCCCTAAAAACCTGTAGCGCTGTTCAGAGATTGAAGTCGCAAACAATCACTAAAGACCATCAAACAAAAGAGTGTGCGGGCGAGTGCGTTGGATCTCTCGATGAATCTACTTAAGCAGAACGTATCTTGAAAATGATAATAGGAAATTTTTAATTTATATTAGGTAGCGATTTTTATGTTTTTTTATCAAATTTAATATAAGTTCTGTTTTTAGTTCAATTAGATTCAAGGTTCTGCGAATAACAGATAAGTCAGTCAGGAGAGAGTGAAGTAGTGAATAAACTAAGAACTAATAGATAAATTTTAAGGGGTTCCAAGACGTGACTTATGAGGATAAGGGCTGCCAGTTACTCCTTATCAGTGCCGAAGTACGGCAGCCAATATAGCTACGCAGAAGGAAAAAGCCCGTCAAAATATAATTCCAAAGATATTTTTATTTTTATTTTTTTGAATTTGTTGGTTTATAACTATATTGCAGATATTTTTTCCTATCTTTTATGCGACCGACTTTTTCCTTTTTCCACCTTAAGCCGCTCCTTACGCTCTAATGGAGCTTTCTGCTGATGCTCGCTCTAATTCGACGAGGACTCAATTTTCAAGTAATATTTTAGTACTTTATTCCAGCCATTTGGTTTAAAATTTTTCTATGTGCTTCAATCTCTAATATGGCGGTCCATGGGATCGCAATGATTTTGGCATTTTATAATCTTCGAGCTCATCGATTGGCTAGAATATTTGCTCCACTTTTTATTCTTGTCATGGGATTTTTGAATACTATAACAGTCCTTCTAATAACAAGTAGTTTGGTTATTCAATTGTATACTTTTTAGGCTTGGTCATTGCCGGTGTGTACACTGCCACTATTATGCCCTTCAACGATCTGCATGCTATACTCGTCGGACTCTTTCAGACATTTTTGCTCTTTATTTTTTCTATAAGTAGGCTGCCGGCTACCTTGTGACTCACGAATTAAAGTTACTTTTTCACTTTAATACACT